ACAAATTCCTTGTGTGTCCACTCACACTTAGCCAATAAAGAATTCTATTCTATATATTATTTAGAATTTTATTTTATTTTTTAAAAAGGAAGAAACAAAACTAAAAGGACTAAAAACTTATATTGTGAGTGTAAGGTGGAATATAAAAATTATCAATATCATTAAAAATAATTTCAGATGCTTGTTGAACAAGAGGATTCACAGGTATGTCGCTAAATCATCAAGTTGAGCCATATGTGAATTCATCAATCTCAGTGTAGAGTGGATTAACCAAATGTCCTTCAGTAATTTGAGCCATCTCAAAAGATATACCACACAAAAGCATATTCATTTCATTCATTTGAAAGTATTGAGGCAATACTTATATTTGGACAATATAAAAGTATATTGAGGGATTATTAGCATAGATTGTTTCAACAAAACACAGCTGTTATTCCATTTTAAAATCTAGCAAAGATCTAGCAGTTCATCTATATTCCATGACCCAAATTATCTAGTAATCTTTGGGAAGAATAGAGGTGAAGCTTGGATACCAATAAAGGAGAATATTTGTAGCTCGGAGTTGAAATGAGGGGTCCTTGAACTTGCCTGTTTTCTTGCAGGTGTTTCATTACCCAAAATAGATAACACAATCTGCTAGTAAGAAATGAGGTTTGTTCTCAATGCATATTCTTCTGTAGTGGCTTGGTCTATCAGTGTTGGCGAGGGTGGTCTTAGAGGTTTTTTTGGTTGGTCTGCTTTCTGTTGCCTTTGGCAGTTCCTTGGTTGGGGTACTTTTTATTTGATTATTGGTTTGATGTTAATCTTGGAGTTAATGTGTGCTCATCTGGGTACTGATTGCTGGTGGGGGGGTGCTTTGTTCCCTTTTTGGCTTGTTGATTATCATTTTTGCATACTGTATGGATATTACTTATGTGTTTATTGATAGCTAATTTGTCATGGTGCCAGGTTTCCAGAAATTCCCTAGCATATTTTGACTTTGTTTGGTTTATGATAGTCACAGTTTCCCAGCTGAAACTATGGTTAACTCTGTACATATATTGTGAAATTAGAGTTTTTATCCTGTCTTCTGACTTCTAATTGGTGTTCTGTTCATGGATGCATTCTGCCAGTTTTCTGCCAGTTTATCCTATAGTGGCTATGTATGCTGATTCCATGTGGTTGCAGTAGTCTGTTGGTAGTGTCTGAACTATTCTTGATGTATTGCAGTGTTATTCTTTTTAGAGCTTGTGTTGATTGTGCTGTATTGGGTTGAGTACTCACTACTCAGGCACTTTTGATAAAATTGTGTGGATATCCGTTTTGTTGGAAGTTGTTGTATAGATGCCCTGTTTGCTTTTTCTCGCTGTTCAGGGTTGCTGCAATGAGTTTATACACAACTGTTTCTAGTTTGTGGTCTCTGCTGATCAGGATGTCCAAGAAGGGTGCGAGTTGTTTTCTTCTTCTTTGATAAACTGGATTCCTTCAGAGATGATGGTTTTGTAGATGTTCTCTAATTGGTCCTTTTTATTATGGTGAAGGTGTTGTCCACATATCTGACCTGTATTTGGGATTACATTTGTGGAAGTGCTATGACTTCTAAATGTTGCATAATGACCTCAGCTATAAGTCAGTGGTGGGATTCGGTTTTTTTTTTACTACTGGTTCTGTGGGTGTGGCTTGGTGGGGTGTGGCTTGGTGGGCGTGGCGGGGGGGGGAATACTGTAAAATCTCCATTCCCACCCCACTCCAGGGAAAGGATACTGTAAAATCCCCATTCTCTTCCCACTCTACTAACCTGCTTTCCAGCTCCGTTCTCCTGTGCAGGGCAACAAAAGAAGACCCAGCCGATCAGTTGGGACTCGGGAGGCAGAGAATAGATGGGGGCTGGGCCAGTCAGAGGTGGTATTTGCCAGTTCTCCGAACTACTCAAAATTTCCGCTACCAGTTCTCCAGAACTGGTCAGAACCTGCTGAATACCACCTCTGCTACAAGTTATCTTGAAATAAGATGGGTGGCCTATAACTTTTATAAATAAGTAAGTCCTAAAAGTAGGGACCTCATAGGTGTCCTTTTGTCTCTAAATTGTCTGTCAAATTAGAACTATGTGGTTAGGCAGAGGTTTATGAAAATCCATAATCCTGGATGTTTCAATCTTCATGTATTTATTTGGTTAAGTCAGGTGTGCTGTGGAACAATGTTGTCATAGACTCTGGGCTAATTCTGGATCTAGGTAAAGGACTAGGACATCAAATGAGACTATGGTTTTGTCCTCATCTTAATCATGTCTCTGATTGTTTGAAGGCACTGTAGTGGGGAGTGGATGGAATGTTTGCTTTCTCTTGTGAGGTGCCCAAGCTTTTTTGTTAATTCTTTTGTGATATTGTAGGCAGGGGTCCTTGGTAATGATACAATTGGATGAAGAGGTATGTATTGGACTTGTGTATTTTGGGACATCTATAGGACATCTATAGGAGTGTGCAGGATGGGTCCAGTGCTTCTCATTCATTGGTAATTTGGCCTTTCTTGGTTAGGTCACTGAAGCTTGGATAGATCAACATTCTCCCACTGCCTTCCCAAAGAATTGTGCTCTAGGTCTTACTGATCCTGAAGATAATGCGAGTTTCTTACAGAAAGAAAATACAGGGGAATAAGAAGGGGGTAGGAGCAATTGATAACTTTCAACTGATAATTTTTAATAAATTTGTTGAGTTCCTCAGCTTGTGATTCTGAATTTATTTATTTTATTTATTTATTTATTTGATTTGCCAATTGTTTACAAGATAATAAGTATAAGCGTATACATAGTTGTGAATACATGAAATGGGTACATATAAGAAAAATAAAAGAATAAGAGAAACAATAGGACAGGGACGGTAGGCACGTTGGTGCGCTTATGCACGCCCCCTACAGACCTCTTAGGAAGGGGGTGAGGTCAATAGTAGACAGTCTAAGGTTAAAGTTTTTGGGGTTTGGGGAAGAGACTACAGAGTCGGGTAGAGTATTCCAGACGTTGACCACTCTGTTGCTGAAGTCGTATTTCCTGCAATCAAGTTTGGTGCGGTTTACTTTGAGTTTGTATCTATTGTGTGCTCTTGTGTTGTTATGGTTGAAGCTGAAGTATTCATTGACAGGTAGGACATTGCAATGTATGATTTTATATACCATGCTTAAGTCAGACCGAAGACGGCGTAATTCAAGGTTTTCTAGTTCTAGAATTTCAAGTCTGGTGGCATAAGGTATTCTACAACGAGTAGAAGAGTGGAGAACTCACCTTGTGAAATATTTCTGGACTTTCTCAATTGTGCTAATATCAGATACGTAATGAGGGTTCCAGACTGATGAACTGTATTCAAGTATTGGTCTAGCAAATGTTTTGTATGCTCTGGTTAGTAGTGTGATATTACCAGAGAAAAAGCTACGTAGGATTAGGTTAACAACTCTTAATGCCTTTTTGGCTATGTAGTTGCAGTGGGCTCTAGCACTTAGATCATTAGAGGTGAGTATTCCAAGGTCCTTTACAGAGCTTGGGTCATCAACAAGATCTTGACTATTCAGCTTGTATTTTATTTTCTGATTTTTTTTGCCAATATGTAAGACAGAGCATTTATTTGTTGAGATTTGAAGTTGCAATTTGTTTGACCATTCTGATACATAGTCAAGATCTTTTTGTAGGGTAGCAGTATTGTCTGTGGTATTGAACAGCTTTACATCATCAGCGAAAAGAACGCAATTGCTCTTAATATGATCACAGAGGTCATTTATGTAGAGTATGAAGAGAGTTGGTCCTAGAACACTGCCTTGGGGGACACCACTATTGACAGGTACAGAATTTGATAGGACGCTCCCAATTTTGACCATTTGTTGTCTGTTTGCCAGGAATGCTTCTATCCAGTTATTCAGTTGTCCAGAGATACCATAGGATTTTATTTTTAGGAGTAGTTTGTCGTGTACCACTGAATCAAAGGCTTTACAGAAGTCTATGTAGATTGCGTCTATTGCTTTGCCCTGGTCGAGTTGTGTCGTCCATATGTTTTTGCAGTGTAAGAGTTGCAGATTACAGGATAGTTTTTTTCTGAAACCAAATTGTTTATTGGAGAGTAGGTTGTTTGTCTCTAAGTGGAGGATAATGGATTGGTTAATAATTGATTCCATGACTTTACAGGTGATGCAGCATAAGGAGATTGGCCTGTAATTTTCAACTAGGCTTGGGTCTCCCTTTTTGAAGATGGGGATGACTGTGGCTTGTGACCATAGGTTAGGCAAGGAGCTGGTTCTGAAAGATTTTTCAAAGATTATGCTTAGAGGTTTGGCTATGGCAGTGGATAGCTTTCTTAAGAAGTAGGCACATATTCCATCCGGTCCAATTCTACCCTTTGGTTTGGGTTCAACTATTAGGAGATAGATAAAAATGCACAGAACATGTAATGCTCATTTCAGAATGAGAGGCAAAGAATTTTTCCTATGTTTTTTCCATACATTTTTTATTTCACACAGATCATACAATGAATGGGGAGATAAGGTGAGCTACTTCGGAATGTGATGATGGCATCCATGCTATCAAATTTTCTCAAAATTAAAATATGTCTACTGATTTTGGAATGTGGCACTTTATCATCGCTAAGTATGAAATGGATCTTTTCCTTTCAATTCAGTAAGTGAAAAATATTGTCGCGCATGTGCAGAGAACTTCTATTCCTACCACTAAGTACATAACGGTGTAAAATTCAGGAGAAAACAGCCCGTAAACTTAAAGCATGGCGCGATTCTTCAACAAGGTTAGATAGATTATGTCCCATATTCACCGGATGAACGTAACGGACTATGCAAATCCAAAAGAAAAATTTCTTAAGTAGCTTAATTATGACTTTTCTTAGGTCAACTACCGTAGATCGGAAAAGGATATTTGAAGGAACGCTAAATGAAGAGGGTGACTCACGATACTACATTTCCCAGCGGCCCTTGCGGAGAGAACGAATTAAACAGAATAGGCTCGGACGGAAGTAGTGAAGGCGGAAGCAGCTGCGGTGGAGTGGTCCTGTTTGTAGTCGGTAACTGTTTCTTTTCTCCCCTTCTCGTGTTGGGCTTTGCAGATGTCTCTCTTCCTTTGCTTTCCATCCTCGATCCCTCATTTTCTGGGTGTTGTACGGGGTCCTTAATGCCGTTCTTTTCCTTTTCGCTTGTTCCCCAAAACCACAGAGTGATAGTTGGGGGTCCCCACCAATTCTGATCGCTCTTGGGCTGGCGATACTACCGCTGCGGTAGTTCGCATTCAAGCAACAGGTGGACAGCAATTGATCTTTCAAAAGGAAGACGCTATATAATTTTCTAATATAGAAAATTAAAGTTCATTATCAGATGACGCTGAATAATCATATCATAAATCTGCTTCAGTTTTCTCGAAGTCCGCACGACCCTGCTCTGTAATTCGGTCTAAAGTACATTCATGGTGCGGATATGTTGTATTTGGGAAAACATGCATCCTACTCTGCAATAAAGGTACAATTAATTTTTTTATTTTTTTTTGGTATCCTTAACATTGTGTTGTTGAGAGGGTATTCCATTTTTCGTGACCTTGAGAACATTCATCCTTTCCCTGTAGGGTGCATTTTTCTGGTGCTAATGTTGTTTTACTGGGTAGTCTTAAATATTTTTGTTATATATTTTTATGGCGTGAAGCTTCAAGAAGGATAATATAGGAGTAAGGATTCCTGGTGGAACCACATTATGCATAAAATTTACAGTGTTTTGATTCATTTTTTAAATCAGTCAACAAATTAATACCTATGTTCCCTCTTTCAGTAAAACTGAAATTATAATTAAATGTAAGTTAACTGAAAAAGTATTATGGTTTGAACTTGTGAGGAAGTCTGCTTTCCAAATGTTGCATGTCAGCCTGCATGAAGCAGTAAAAAAAAAGTATATTTAAAAGAAAATGTTGAAAGACAAAGGGCTCTTAAATATATCTTCTTTAGTGTTTCAATTTTTAAGGGATGAATCCTGATATTCTGATGTCATTTCAAGGCTATTATCTTCAAGGCCCAAATTAACTCTTCACTGTTACAATTATAATTATTGTTGTTTTTATTATTTAATACCACTTGTAAGGGTTTCTCTCCAGGAAACTTTCAGAGTACTGATGCACAATATTAGTATACTATACTACATAACTAGTGCTTTTGGTTGCCAAAAAAGGCTTGCAAATACGCAAGAACTATATAAGAACTAGAGAGAAACGGGGTAATTTTTCTTATGGTTCAAGGATAAAGCTTCAACTTTTAAAATTTGATGAACTTTTAACTTTCCATGGTTTGAAGGCTTGGTGACATACTTTAATGTATATATAAAAATAAAGATACAGTTCAAACTCAAGTAAAACGCTAATAATATGAGAAGCCTACTATGCTTAAAACTTCAATTCTTTTCATTGATTACAGGTATTCAGGTGCTATTGAGTTTTAAATTAATAAGTTCAAAAGCTGTGAAAGAACATGTAATGTTAAAATGCTGATTTAAGAAAATTATATTACATTTTTTCTTAATATAGATCAAATAAGTAATAGTGTACATTTTATTAAAATGGGTTTGTTTTGCAATGTTGGCAATAGAAAATAGTATTATAGAACCTAACTCTACTCAGTGCTGATATTCAAGGTAAAAACTTTCAGACAGATGGTTATCCACCCTCTGTATGAATACATTCAGTGACAAGAAACCTTTCACCTCGCCAGATAACTGATTCCCACATCAAACTGCATTTACTTTGAGGATGTATTTTCTAACATTGTCAAAAACTTCCTTCTTAATGCATTATTAAGGATCCTGCAACTTAAATGCATTATTCTGGGTCCTGCACCTTAAATTCAATATAATACCCTTCCAGGTATTTCGAAAGTGCTGCAATATTTCCTTAAGTTTTTCCAAGAACTAAATGTATCCCACTCATTCAATACCTTTTATATAAGATAATTTCTATTACCCTAACCATCTTCACTGACATTCTGTGAACTTAATCCAGTTTTTATGATTTTCTCTGTGTCAAAAATCACTGTTCAGAACTAGGTAGGATCTGACAAGTTAAAGCACTGTTACTTTCAATAACTTGGATAATATATTATTCATAATACAGCCTAAAATTGCATTTAACATTTTGTACTCTTATCACACTGTTTACTTATATGTTCTTTGCAATCAATTACTATTTCATTTCCCCCCACAAATATGACATTAACTTCCCCATATAATTTTTAAATTTCTAAATAAAAACTTTGCTTATCTCTTAAATTTTATTCAGTTTTATTTCAGCTAATTTCTCCAACCTATTAAGCTCAATTTCATTTTATTTCTGCATTCTGGGGAATTAGCAATCTCAGCCATTTTTTTTAATTCAATAAATATTCCTTGTATCTTCATGTCATTAATAAAAATATTAAAGAGTATAAAGCCCAGGATTGATAAGTATGACGTCCCATTTGATACCTCTCTTCATTTTGATGAACACCCTATTGAGTACAATTTTTGAAACAGCTACATTCCCATTTAATTGTAATGCTATCCTGCTCACACTTAAGTGCTTTGTTAATCAGTATTTATCAAATGCACTTCAGATGTCAAGATACATTATGTCCACAGAAATATAACCCACAATTTGTTAAGGAACTTACCCACTCAAAAATGAGATAAAATTAGTCTGGAAAGCTCTGTAATATCGCATTGATCTGTAAGAACTTTGGAAGCAATCTCTTTATAATCTGTTTTAGAACATTCTTAGTATCAATGTCAGAGTAGCTGGTCTGTAGTTTGCTGGATTTTGTGAATTCTTGCTGCTTCAAAAAAGCCTCAGTTTGCTTTTGAAAGGTATCCTCACCTAATTGGTTGGATGACCCGTGGCAGACGTCAACAATATTGCTTTTATTTCTTTCACTAGTTATTTTAACTTAGATGCTCTCTGCAGCATTGTTAAGTTGATTTTTTTAGATTTCTGAGTAGGCGTTGATATTTTTAACAGATAGTGGAACTCCTCCCCTTTCTATAGTTTCTGTTCCTTTTGAATAAATTGATTTCTTTACTGCTCTTTTTCAGTTGGAAGTCACCCCACCAGGTCTCCATTAAAATTAATAAAGCATATTTTCTGTATCAAGAGTTCATACTCATCTTGCTTATATATTATATTTTGAGTATTAGTGTACAGTCAATGAAGGTCATGAACTTTATGAACCAGTGATCTTGCTGACTTTTATTTGAATGGTTTAAGAGGCTCCATTGCAGCAGCATTCCTACTTTTATAGTGCATTTTTCCAATTTATTTCTGCCCGCCATAGGATTCAGTTAAAACCCTTCTAATCAAGCTTCCCATGTTGTGGTCAAACACTCTTTGGAAATATAAAACTTGTCTTGTGACAGTGGTCCATCACCTAGATTACTGAGACTATCATCCTGGAAACCAAATATCTCTCATTGACCCAATTTATGTAGTCAGTTATTGAATTACAGTACCTTTTTTTCTCTTTTTAACCTTTTTTCTATGAACTAGAAAAATAGATGAGAATACCACCTCCTCTCCCAGAACCTTGAGTTTTGTTCCAAAATTTTCAAAGCCATTCTCTGCAGTATTATTTGTTCCCACGTGTATTATCAGGAAAAAAAATATTTTTGGACCTGGTAGATCTTGGAAGTTCCTGATTCTCATTCACAGCAATTGATGAGTCCAGTTGACATACATATGTTTCAGGTACTTATTGTGCTTAAGTCTTCTGTTTGGCTTTTTACAGGATACAGTTGAATCCACTCTGCCTTTTAAGTTCCACCATCCTGTCTTCCATTCTTCAGTGTTTCTTTCAGCTGTAAGAGTTTGAAAATGGTTACTGAGTTCCAGCAAATAGTATATCTTTTACATCTCTTGCTATTGCTTTGATCCATTGAGGTTACTTCTGTTTGGCTGTATCTTCATGGTGATTTGTTTCCACTGTCAATTCCTTTTGTAGCCTTTGAATTGATAAATCCTTAATTTGCTGGTCCTATTCTTTGCATTTCCTTCAAGAACTGCAACCAGCTTGCATTTATTGTTAGTATTAAATATTATCCCCTCTTATTCTATTTTCTTTTATATAAATAGCACATATTCTTAACATAACTACTATACTCTGTTAACAGGTAAAATTATCCCTTTCTCGCATCTAGCAGTCCACTAGTTTGATACTATTGAAATAATGTCCCCGGTGAAAAGGCATTTTGTAATTGTGATGAAAGGATCAAAAGTGTCTGGTCATTCTTTAGTTGTGTTGTTTAATGGATTGATACTAAAGAAACTTGGGTAATTTGCAATAATGCATAGATAGGTGCAGATTGGGCCCAAATTTTAAAGGCCTTATAAGCATAAAACTGTCTGGAACAGTATTTGTACATGGTAAACATATAATATTACCTAATTCAGTTTTACTTGAATCTTCTAAACAGTTTTCAGGAATAAAACCGTGTACTATGCATTCTATCAGGGGTCACCAACCTTTTGAATCTCAAGGACCACTACGTTCATAATTTTAAATCCCGCGGACTACTAATATAATCTAGTTAATGACCAGCTGGGTGGGCATGGCTAGGTAGTCATGTGACTGGGTGGGTGTGGCCAACTCAATGTCACTCACGTTGAGGGGCACCTCTCCAGCCTCTACTCACCCTTCCCCTCCCAGTCATTCCTCACCTACCTGCCCGGGCTCCTTAGGGCCCCAACAGGAAGCAGTTGTTAGAGCAGCCAACATGAGAAAGAGTTTGCAGAACAGCTGGCTCAGTTCAAATTGGATCTGACCAAGAAGAAGGCTCAGCAGAAGCACCTCACCGAGGACTACGAGCATAGGCTTTCCAATCACAGGGAAGACCTGCGGGAATGCAAGGCCAGGTACCGGCACCTCGAGGCTCAGTGGGCTGAGATGATCAGCCAGTTCCAGGCCATAATGCAGTCCCACTGGAACAAGGCCCTCCAATTCTTTGCCACCAGTGGCACTTCCCTCCAGTCTTCGCCAAAGCCCCGCACCAGGAGGCTGAAGTAGACCCCAAGTCGGAATTTCTGCCCCCCTCCGACCCGCACGAAAAGACCTCGAAGGGGGAGACTCTCTGAAACAACACAAATGTTCATTGCACGTATATAGCCCAGGGGCTGTAGTTTGAGGACCCCTGATTTAGTGCGATATAAAAAATGCAAATAATTTTTCTGCGGACTACCAAAATGTTCTCGCGGACCACCAGTGGTCCACGGACCACCAGTTGGTGACCACTGCATTATATGA